ACAAACAAAACTTGTTTCCTTTGGGAACAGTCACAAACACATGTTTCTTCCTTCTCAACTGCCACTCAATCACATTACAACATAGCAACCAAATAGAAGCTCTGTTCTGTTTGGGAGAAGGGTTGTTGATCACTATACAGTGGGGCTGCAATCTCTCCAGTTGCTGCCAAATACCATCTTAACCCTTCATAGTGGAAAAGTTGTATCCTGCCTTGAAATCCATAGGAGATGCAACTTTAACACCATTCTTTGAAAGGAACCAAGATAATCCACTGTTTCCATGAAGTAACTCAACAACATCAGGATGATCATCATTACAGAAGAAAAAGGACTGTTCTCCGAATTCGGCATCAACATACAGTTCGTGATCTTCACGCAAGTTCTCCGGATTCTCATCGTCTAATGCCGGAATGGAAACATCATGCCACTCATCGTGATCACGTCTAACCTTTGACTGATTCACACGTATCACTGCCTTACCAGTATTGGCTTGGACCATAGCTCCTTCTTGTCCAAGTACTGTGGCACGAACCCAACGTCCTTTATCCTTGAACTTTGATGAATCCTGAGTCCAAACAAAAACCTTCTCTCCTTGGAAATAGGGACCGTCACTTGGCATAGTCCTTCTTGCAAGATCTGCTCGAAGGTCCTGAGCTTGTCGTGCTTCTTGATGAGCTCTCAAAGCCACACGTTGTAGTTCCAAATTTGTACGATCTTGTGCGGCGGCATTAGCTGACAATTGCTCAGGGCTTGCGGTCTCAAGGTCAAAAAGATCTGGTGGACGTCTTCCAGTTGCTATCTCTATTGGTGAATATCCACTGATAGTCAACTGACAATTTCTTGCCCACACTACTTTCTTGACCACTTCTCTGACCGTAACACCACGAAAACGTGGGTCATCCAGATCTACCTTCATAACATGCCACATACGTTTGAACAAACGTACAGCTGTCTCTGCTCGGTTCGGCCAAGGAGTTCTTGGCCCACAAGGACATTGTTGTATACCATGGAACCTGTAGTATTCAACAAAAGCATCGGTGAAAAAGGCTTCGTCTCCTACGATGGCCTTCGGAACACAGTTGTTCTCATCCGACCATTGCCTCAATGCTTGGATGGTGGTTTGATCTATGAGGTCTTTCTGTGCCGTAGCCCAGAGAAGATTTGTGGCACCATCAAGAACAAGTAAGATGATATACTTGTTCTTGTGAAGTTCAACCTCACAATGATCAGCAAAAACAACATCACCAAAACATGAAGCTCTAATACCGGAGACTCTGGCTCGTGGCGGAGGTGCCACTGAAGTGTTACAAACACGGCAGTTCCTGACAACTGATTCATACTTCTCTAAAACAGAGTCAGGAAGCTTCAACATAGAAACACGTCTACGAAACTGAGTAGGACTCATATGGTAGTGCTTCACATGAAGCTTATAAAGCTCTACCTTGTCCTCCAGTCTCTGTAACATCTTCCTATATGCCGGTGTCATTGCAACAACTTCACTACCAGGTAATGGGATTGAAATCCGCCTAGGCTCAAGAGCGCCATCACCTGGTTCAAGTGGTTCATGTTTATCACTTGATGGTCCTTTTGATGCTTTAGGAATTTCTACAAGTTCACCTTCTGGCCTCTCAGGTGGTTCTGAGGGAGCATACTCCTCAAGATCATCACCCTTTAAATCATTCTGAGGCTCAGATGGTTTTGACTTGTGTCCTTTCCAAAATGGATCAAAACCCTTGGAAGTATACCGAAACTTTGGCGGCACGGGCTTTTCCGCGGCACTGGCTGGTGCACCTTCCTTCTCTGACGAGAAGCCTGGTTCCCTGTCCTTTGCAATGGGAACCTTCTCTGAGGAGGAGCGCACCACTGCATCGGGATCACCAATGCCACGGTGCTCAATGCCAGCCTTCCTGATCTTTAGATCTGGAATTTTGGCATCTGGCTTGAACTTAAAAATTGTTCTACCACGCCATTCATAGCCAATTTGTAGGTCCTTCCATTTTGCCTTGCGCCAATCATCTTGCTTCTTGATCTCTTCTCCTCCTTTCTTCTTCTTGATGATTGTCAGTCGCAAGTCTTCCAGTAAGTCAGTGTCTACAGGACAGGACTTAGTTGCTGGAAAAAGAATCTTTCTATAATCCTTGTGGTGACGTATCAGTTCTCTCTTGTGAACATCTACTTCCCAGTAGTCAACCACAGGATATGCATGTTCAGCTACATCTTCATCACTATTGAGGTCAACAGAAATATGACCATATTCATAGTGAGTGAAGTGAGAGTAAAAACTCTTCTCGCGCCGAGTCTGCAAATTCACGTCAGACAGATACCATGCAATATCTTGGAAGTCCAAGACAAGATGAGTACTGGCTGCAACCTTCAACTCCAAATATTTGATACCAAGAGGCACCGATGTCAGATAAGCATGTTGAGGTGTCAGCCTGAGTTCAAAGCCTAAGTTCCTCATCTGTGGCAAGCTCATAAGCAAAGGGACTTCTCCTTCTTCCACTATGTCGAACTCTGTATGGTGGATCGTCCATGCACGATCATACATGTAAATCACCAGTTTCTGCGAGCAAGTAGCCTTCTGGGAATTGGCAAAGTAAAACTTGCTCTTGGTAGACTCAAAAGAGTACCATAATCCACAATCTGGGTGATTGTCGACATAGTTGCAAAAATGGTCGACTGCTCGCCTTGATCCCATAGCTCTAGTGCATCCAATGTCCAGGATTGCAATAGTCGGCGGGAAGCGATTCTCAGTCAAAAATGAAATGGCCTGCATCTCCTTCACTTCTTCCTCAGCGCTCATAAGCGCAAAGCCATCAGGAGCCTTTGTGAGCATCTCCTTTGACAAAGAGTACCTCACAGGGGCACTCATGCCATTGAAGATCGTCTCACCATTGTTGACCGCGCAGTCAGCTTCATCTTGACATGAGGTCATCATGCCTGACAGCAAGTCCACCTCACTGTCATGGACTTCAGCTGCTGCTGTCACACAATGTGCAAAGAAACCTTGTTGACCTCCTGATGCTTGTGAAGATCTTGAAGGTGCAGGTAAAGAACGTGGCTGTTGTGGATTTGCATAGTTTGCATCTTGTTTGCCATCTCCTTTATCTTTTCCTTGTCCTTTCTTGCCTTTTCTCTTGCCTTTTCCTTTTCCTTTGTGGGAAAACCATGCTTCTTCAAGCTGTTGCCAAAAGTCATTGGCATCATCATATTCTCCTTGAAGATAGTCATTCATATCCTCGGCAAGAATGGCATCATATGCTACTTGGTTTGACTCCCAAGTGTCCTCATAAGGATTCTCTTCAAAGTACTCTTCTGGATATGTTGTCTGTTGCTCATCAGCAAAATGGCCTTTACCTCGTCTCTTTCCTTTTCCTTTTCCACGAGGTCTGAAGAATCTGCGGCCTGATCTTCCTTTACCTTTTCCTTTTCTTCTTCCTTTTCCCTTGCCTTTTCTGGCTCTTCTTCCTTGGAATCTTCTTTGGAACCACGAGAAGTTTTGATCATCATATACCCAAAAGACATCGTCCAGGGCATCTAAAAATCCTTCAGTTCCATCTTCTTCATCTTCGGCCCAATAGCCAAATGTACCATCGAGTTCTCCTTCGTCTAGTACGAGAAATGATCTTCTACCTCCAGCACCTGTTGGCTGCATCAAAGGATTGTCCACTGAAGTCTTTGTCGTGCAGAACATCTCGATGAACACTGTCCTCAACTCTGTTGTGGTGTATTGCTGCAGGACCCTGCCACGATGAGTCATCAATGAAGTCAAAGTGTTTCGCTGGTCCTGAGACAAATCTGCAAGTGACAGCATGAGTAAAGCAATAAGATTTTCTCCTAGAGGAAATTCGTTCTGATGAAAGGTCCTCATGTTGCCATTGATGGTCTGCATGATTTCCTGAATCCTTTCTGCCGTTGGTGCTGTTCCAGTCAATGCTGCATCTGCCTGCATCTGAGCTAGGACTTGTGGATGTGCTTGAGTGACTGGTTCTAACATGTCCATCCAACTGCTCATAAGCCTTTGGAGTAAAATCTGGAATCTTGTCATCCATTTCATCATGTCAGCTGATCCTCGATTGAAGCGCACGAATTGCATGAACCTATACAGGAATACATTGGTTGATCCCTTCACGAAATACGGCCGTAGTACTCGTTTGAAATATTCTACGCCGGCTCCTGGTGGATCATTCGCCTTCAATGCATCTCTGTCTAAAACACGCTTGTATACAGCTGCTTCTCCTTCTAATCTGTTTCTCAATGCTGGTCCTCTTTTCTCATCTTCCAGCTCGGTGATATCACACCAATCGTCTATGGCATCCTCATAGGAAAACCATGAAGTCTTTCCATCATAAGATGGGGGCACCTTTGTAGTGACCTGTGTTGTCATTGCTATTGCTGCTGGTTCTCTTCTCATATGCCTATTCACGTAGGCTGCTGGCTCATAAGCCACATCCGCATCAGGCTCTTCCCAGTCGTCAATCCAATCCATGGCCGTTTGCCCACAAGCAATTCTATGCCTAGGAAAGGAGCTCACCTGGGTCTTCCAGGATCACTGCTCCGCTACCACTGAAAGAGTGACTAGGGCGTACACGGTAGAGGTGCAGACCGCTAGTGTCTTTTATGCGCAGAGTCTTATCCTCTTGCTCTTTGAGCCTTGAAGCAGTCAAGCATGGACACACTATATCAGCTGTTGGAGTGGAACCCTGTACAGGTAGGCTCTACTTTTCAGGGGGGGGGGAGGGGGGGGCGGGGAGGGGTCGAATCAATTGATTTATCAATGATTCATCACATGGGAGGAGGGGGTGGGGGTGTTGGACATTGATCTACCAATCTTTAGTCCCGAGCAAGCTCTCAAGCCAGTCCCTTTGCTTCGCAAAGCAAAAAGCAAACTCAAGGTAGTCCTTACCAGGCTACCTTTCGTGACATGTTGGACTGCTGGCATCTGCTCAAGCCATCTATTGGCTTGACCACATGTCGGAAGTAGAGCTACACCAAGTTGCTTGAAGAGTGGCACGACAGCTTCAACTGCACATCCTCAGACTGTGAATCTTGCTAACGTCACTTAGCTCTTGTTTAGTTGGGTATACAGTATACATTTCTCACAAGGGTCAGATCTCTCCAAGGGCCGTAAGCACTGCCCAGGCCAGCGCACTACAATGGTGTGTTTACTCAAGCTGGCCTCTGAAGTGCCCAAGCGTCTGGGGTCGACTTTGCTGTGGATGTAAGCAATGACATGGGCATCTAGCTCCTTATGGTAGTGAAAACGCGCTTTTGACGGCAGGAATGACAGCCATGTCACCAAAAAGAAGCTGACCTGAATAGATTCAAACGAAAAGTGCTGTCTGTCCTGTCGGTTTCGGCCTCTGGTTTTACTCAGTTGCCCCTACAAAGAGAACACCTTCTCATAGTAATTGTAGCCTGTCTTTCCTCAAAAGGGGTTTCTCTTCTTATTCGAAGCCTGCTTAGATGCTCAGTAAAGTAGGTGTCGTGCAAGTCTTCTTTTGGCACTTGTATATCTTGTATCTTCATCTGTAGGGGCTTCTGCCGCTTCGAGCAGCTTTACATACTCTTTATATGTCTTTATGTTGTCGGCACGCATAGCCCCTGAAGCCTTGACTCCACGCGACTCCGCTCTGCACTCCCCATTGTATGTACTGTATATATGTGGCGTTGGCGCTGGCTTGGAACGATGTCTTTGCTCAGCCACGTGGTGCTAGCCACTGCTCTTCTTTCTCCTGATGTCGTCCTTGCAGTACTGCTTGCTGGTAGTAGTTGGTGTGCAGTGATTCGTAGCTGGAGCCGAAGCGCAGCTCAGCTACCACATTAAAGTATATACGCGCCTACTTATTTGTTAATCCAGAGTCTGTAGGATGGAACACGGTACAGCAATGTACAGCATATAAATCTTCGTGATGCAATGCTGTAGTGCTGCACTTTCCAGGCTTGGACTGGACGGAAGATGGAACGGTATATAAATGGCTTGTGTGTCTGTCTCTCTTTCTCTCCATCTCTCTCTCTCTCTCATGCAACTCTGTTGAAGGGGACCTCCTGCCATCGGATCTCCATTTCAGCCTTGCTTCTGAGTAGTCGATGATGGCACCGATGGGTCCAAACGTTGCTCGGGGATGCCTCACTCGCTTTTTGACCACTTGCGTCGGGTTGAAGGTTCTGTGAGCCTCAGGCCACCGCGGAGAATAAGATTCGCTCAACCGATGAATTTTGCTCAGTCCCAGAGTGCTCGAGACTCAAGACAATCCTCAGACTACACTAGACTACAGTGTGTTGCCTCACCTCTGCCACAAGGCCGCGCCCAAAGTCCATCGCAGCATCCTTGTCCAAGTCCAGTTGTGTGAAGATTCGAGAAGGATGAATAATGTTGCGCAAAAAGAAAACACCACGAAAAGTACAAAATTCTCAAGCTTGCAACCAGGCGTCTTTGATTCCTGTCACACCTTTGACGACACCACTGACGAGGCCAGTGCCAACCCCCTTCACAAAGCCCTTCACACCATCCTGCTTGGCGCCTTCCACGGGTCTCCTGACAAAACTCAACATGTTATTTTAGTGATTAATCTGTTTATGTCTCCTTTTTGGCTTTTCATGCTAGACCATTAAAGGTCGTTCTTTTGTATGTCTTTTCTCCTTTCCAATCGTGCAAGACAGTGTCTGAAATGTGTCAATGGTTCTCACGCATTCGGGACAGCAGGGCAGCCAGGGCACCGGAAGATATCCATCATTCCGCTGAGCCCTTGACCGAAGCTGCTCACAGCACTGTGCATTCCTTGAGAGGCGCCTCAGGTCTTCGGCCAATTGCTCCAGTTCCAAATGCCTTTCAGTCTTGTCTTTCTCCAACTGACCGCACAGTGCATTCTTTCGTCCTTGAGACCAAGGTGCCTCGGATAGGTTGCTGCCGCTGCAGCTTGTGGTGATGAGCATAGTCTGGATCCACCATGTGGTCCAAGTCGGCATCTAGCAAGCACCAGGTCACAGTGCAAAGCTCCCATTGAAATCTTCACATTGACATTGCAACTGTATGTCCCACTTTGCACTCAACCCGCTCTCTTCTCACCGAGAATCCAGGAACGAATTGCGCTGCATAGCCCCCTGCAGATTCCAGCAATTCCATTGGAGCTTTTGGGATAGCTAGCAAGGACGAATGGCCTTGCGGCGGTTGGTACATGTCTTTGTGGTGTTGGATATGGCTGAACATCCGTCTTGCCATTCTTGCCTAAGCATGAAGCTACAGATTTCAGCATGTTGCCCATCCACTCCCGCACGAAGCCAGAAGCCAGGTCAGCAGCTTTGCCGAGCATGTTCTTCAAGCTCTTCGCTGATCTGAGGAGGTTCCATCGTTTCCATCGACTTGTTCATGACCATTGCGTCAGCAATGCGGAATTAGTATGGAGACAAAATATATAGCTAAAATATGATATATATCTGATCTTGTTTTAGCCACATGCAGCATTTCAGGGTTTGACGTGTGTGATCGCAGGTCGCACATCACAAGCAGCAAGAAGATTTCAGATCCCCACTTCAGGAACTAGAGCCGCCAAGTTGCAAAGATATTTCGGCTCCATCCATTGACATAGAGTTCGACAGGGACAATGCTCCTGGACAGGGCATATAAAGGAATCAAAGGCTTCTTCTCCCACGGAGAACATTACAGTAACAAACAAATAGAAACCAAACCAAACCAATCCCGGGCCTACAAGTCCGCAAGCCCAGCTTGGGAGGAATGACTTCACCCTTTTCAGACGGATCCGACTCCAGATTTTCACGCTGATGGAGGACATCATCCTTAGTTGCACAGGCCGTCGGCATCAGTTCTTCTGGTTTGACTTCGAGAAAAGTGGTACAGTAGATAGTGGTAGCATTGAGCACACCATCCGACAGAAGTGCAAAGCCTTCCCGCACAGTTTTGGGGGGCAAGTGTTCCCTGGCTCAAGTGCAACCAGCTGCATGTGGATGCATTATTAGTTGGAGGATGTTGGAGGTGTGATGGGTGTAGTTCGAATCAGTGTCAGCTGTTTGGACTGTCGAGAGAGCGAATCGGATTCTGGAGCTGGCTCGAATCGGAATCATGATATGGGATTCTTGATAGCTTGAACGGATTCGCCCGAGCCCGAGTCGGAATTTATCTTCTGCAGACTGTCAGATGCAAACCGACCTCAAACCAACCCAACAACGCCTTCATGTTTCCAAGTAGTTCGTCCCGGCCGTTCCAACCATCCTGCTCATCACAACAGCGCACCAGTCATACAAAGTTTACACTGGTCTCTTTTTTCGAACACCACAACCATCGAGAAGTGATATGTAGTGCCGCTTAATCATCCTGATCACCCCATGGTCAACTCTTCCTGCATCTTTTCATGGGTGTGGTTTCATACTACACAGCACAGACCATTCCGACCTGTCAGACTGGCCACACATTGATTGCCTGGAAAAGCAGGCGGTTTTTCGCAACATGCTATTGGAAAGTCGCAAAAGTTTTATATAAGTATTTTAATACTGTTTCAACTCGACTCACACACTTTCGAGTTCCAGATCACTGGCTTTGCACGCCCGCTTTTTTCACACGACCGCACGAATCACTAATGCAATCTACTGCAGCAAAATGTGCTGCATCACCGGATCATCCCCCAAATCCGGCTCACCACATTCGATTGCTGGCATCCCATCCAGGCCGGAAGACGCTGCTTTGCTACGCGAGAAACTGATTAGGCAATTATCCTGATGCCTGAGGTCACACCATGCACGCAGCATTGTCTTGGCAAACAGCCAGGGAGTTGTTTGAGGCTTCGATCCAGAAAGGTGGAAAGAATCAGGTCTCAGTCGGCCGACTTTGGCCCTTGAATCCGATGCGTCTGCACTTGGCATGAGAAGTTCACTCGGGACAGTGAAACCCGATGTTTGGCTTGGGGGCGCAATGGCTATTCGTTCGATTCAAAAGTTGTTCAGAATCTGCGATACTGATGATGCAAAGGTGTTTGTTTGATTCCATATTTGCACACTTGAATTTCTGCAAACAGTTCTGCCAAAAAGCTGCCGTCACTTGAATGAAACTTTTCTACACTGCATCTTTTTAGGCACAGCAAGCCCAGCAGCAAGCCAAGGCTAGTGAACCTTGAGTGTAGCGTACCATTGGTTGCACGTTGCTTAATCCAAGGCACAGCTCATCAATCTGAAATATTGGTTCCTGGTGAAGCCCGTGAAGCGATGCAATGGGATAGCCAACCACTACATATATGCTACTACAGCGCAGTTTCCCTTGGACTCTTGAATGCAAACCGCTGCCAAAGCATGTTGCAGGTTGAGTGTCCGCCGCCGGAATCTTGTCAAGTGTTGGAACAATGGAGGCCCCGGCCTGAACTCAATGTAGCTGTCAATGTTTGATCAAAAGGGTCCGAAAGGGCATTAGAATACATGGCAACTCATCCTGCCTGCTTCCGCACTTGTTGCACTGAATCAAGTGGAAACCCAGCCTTTGCCAGCTCAAAGATCGACATGGAACATGGAATTCTCTGCATACAACCAGAGGCTTTGTGCGACCAAAGGGCTTGTGTCTTGGTCGGTGCTGGTACGAGAATGTCCTGACATAGAATGACAATGATAGACAACGATGGATGCACGATTGCAATTGAGCGCTCTTCCAGCTGGTCTTTGCAGCTGAATAAAGCTGAGTGCGAGGCCAAAACGTTGAGCATTGTGGTGATCAAGGTGTCGTCAACTGTGACCTCCCATACGCGACACGTCTCAAACATTTGTCAAGCAAGGGGGTTCTCCTCTGACACTTTGCTGGCATGATCAACTACTAACTACTGCTTCTGGCAGGGAATTTGAGGCAAGCCAGCTGCCTCCATATCGTCCAGCTTGAAAGAGACGCAGGCCAAATGCATTTCTGATGATGAGATCTGATGCCTTTCAAGGTGGAATTGAAGAAAGGATCGCGCCTTGGCTGTCCAAATGACAATCCCAATTCAGCCCCCAATGCAACATGACTGTGGATAGCTGAGTATCTCCGGCTTTCATGTCCAAGTGGCTAAGGTGTGGGATGACACACCCCTATTGCCAATCACTACACAATGTTGTAGCGGATTCTCTGGCACTTGGTAATCCAATTGCCTTCGCGGTACCGAAAGGCACAGAGCTTGAAAGTGTACCAGGACTGAGGCAGCGACAGGTCACCAAGGGCGAAGTTGAGCACTTGCATGTCCTGCTTCGGCTTTGTAGATGCCACCACTTGCCTGTGGGACAAGGGCGTGCAAAAAGCGGATGGAGAAGCTATTCATGCCAGGGGCGCCACCACCCCAAAACATAGTGATAGTGATACGAAATTTCAAGGACTCTGGTGTACGTCCGGCTGCGCCAATGTGCACGTCAGAAACAAGCCCAAGCCACAGTAGGGCCAACTCGAGGTAGAGGAGCTCAGAGATGCGCACCCTTGGTATCTAAAAATCGAATCAAAAATTAGGAAAGTGCGTTGGCTTATCATGGTTCAAGAATCTTCTCTCACCCTGTATATATATACAAAGTGATATATAATATAAATATACAGTTTGTGTGTATATATAACATATAAATATATAAATGTATTTCTTATTGGTGCATTTGCATGTGCATTATGATAATTGTTTAATACAACATCCAGTGATCGAAACGCCGTCACGGCGCCGATGTGGCGAACGGCCCATCAAGGACACGCCAATCCGTGGAAGGACCAGGTTCAGCGTCATGGCCGCAATTGGTTGCCTTGCCCGGTGCTGATCCAATGGCGAACCCATGATCATCCAAGTTCGTCCGAAACGGAGGAACTGCAAACAGTGTCGAACGATGTCGAACGGCATTGTTTGCTGCTCAGCTGGCTGCTTTGCTTTGCTTCGCTCTCTCTCTCTCTCTATCTCTCTCTGTGTCTTTCTTTCTTTCTTGCTTCCTTGCTTGCTTGCTATCTTTCTTTCCTTATCTATTTCTTTCTGTCTTTCTTTCTTTCTTGCTTTCTTTCTTTCTCTCTCTCTCTCTTGCATTCAAACGACTCATAGCTCTGTTTCTCCCGCACTTCCAAGAACGTCGTTGAGTTTTCGAAAGAACCTGGCACAAGTTGGTGTCGGGCGCTGATTACCACAGGTCCTTTTAAAGGACCCGTGGTCGCACAAACCACGGCAAAGCAGGTGGTCTGGGATCCCGGCTGAACAGCTCCAATCGACCACGTAACTTCTTCTGGTACATGGTGCGCGGATTTATCGTAAAGTCCTCCTCTTCTAAAATAAGTTCTGCTTCGAGATCCTTGTCTTTGAAGAATGGGTCCTTGGCAATGCAAATTGATGCAAATTGACATCACTAAGCTGGCAAGCTCCTTCTTTGGCGAGAGTCAACCCAGGCAAAGTCGACGACTTCACCGGCAAGGGCGCGGAACTGCAATGATCGCACACGGATCTCACACTCACCCTTCGGCAGCCTGTTCCAGAGCGCATACTTGCCTCAAGCGCAGTCACTGACCTTTGTCTCTTCGACTTCCAAAGCCTTCATGACTGAGCTATGCTGGTGAGACTCCCCAGTCTCACTTCAACCTCCACGCGTTCAATTCTTTTACAGCTAACTTCACCAAGTCTCTGCCAGGTTTGATGGACACATAGATGGTGCCATGGTCAGCACGGATGTCCACCGTCCAACAGAATCGACCCACCGCAATAGATGCGGTGCCTGTGCTGCGCTCAAGTACCCCGGTCCCCTTCGTTCAAATCGCTTTCATCAAAAGGTGTAAGACCAGGTACAAGTACGTGAAAGCCCCCACCTTGCTACCTCTTGGTTACACATGTCTGCCTTTTGCATCAGGATCAGTGGGGACTTGTCTTCGGCCCCAGCTGCAATGCAGCAAAAGGAGGAAAGTGTGGACCAACTTGAGAACAATTATCTCTGCATCGATGTCTAGAAATATGCCAATGTCACCTCTTGCCAACACTCGCCAGAGGTAGACACACTACAAGTACTTACAGTACTACTTAGGCCAGCTCCTCTCATCCAAACAAGATCGACATAGATCGACGCTTGTAAACTTCCCAATTCAAGAGTGAAGGTGGATCCAGCACAAATAGTGGAGCCGCCCCTTATTTACAACTTAGTCGCAATGGCCTCCAACCTAATAGCCCACCCTACTCTGAATCTCTCTGTGCCTATTTCTAACAATGGCTTTCCAAAATCCCCACTTGTGAAGGCCACTCAGGTGCAACCTCATAGTAGGCGCTTCGGAATCCATGTGGCCATGTCCGGCCTGCAGACTCCTCAATTGCGGGAATATCAACTGACCAAGCCGAAGCTGTGGAAGGGCGAAACTGCAGGTTTTCGGACGTGAACTTTGGCGATTCCATGTCCATAGGCTGGACCACAACCTGGGTCGAAACTTGAGGAAAGAGTTATTCACTCAGTGGGCGCACTGCTCCGGGCAAGTCTTGCCGAAAAGGACAACACTCAGCATCCAACGCGGCAATCGCCTGACCTGGACATCTCATCTCAAAGCCCTATAAAGTATCCTAAAGTCTGAAAGTTGAGGCAAGCTTGCAAATCCCAAGTTTGCCTGAATTCCACCGGGTGCTCAGTCAAATTCTGGACGATGTGCCGGGGCACAATTTCCAAGCAGCGAGTTGTGTGATCCTGAGCGTCGTATCTGTGAAGAGCTCTGCGGCAAAAACCGCCCAACTGGCCTGCTGGCCAGGCAATGGACGCGCACGCACTGTCACGTTGGTGCCCTCGTGCGTTGTGGTGATGGTCCAATCGTTCTGGCCTCCAAACACAAGAATTGTCATGGAAGGAGCCTTGCAAAAAACAACGGATGATGGATGGTGTAACTTGCGTGAGATTTGGACCAAGCACCTGAAGGTAACGAAAATTCAGGTCCACATCTGCCATTGGAGCTGATTTTGTGATATTTCACCTCGTGCCAAGTCATCCCACGCTTGGACAATCTATAATGCAGAGACCACTTAAGGCCGGGGCATTGTTCCCACACAGGAGCACTCCATCTCCAGCATCAATGAGGGGACCTTCACGTTCCACGCTCAAATTCCACCCTGTCCTGACACCACAAACTCTCAACGTTCGATGTGTGTAGACAATTGTAGACATGCGGGCGTGGCGACACGCCAGTGAGCAAACAGTCCTATCAATAAGCCAAGTCTGGCAGCAAAGCTGCACCTTCCCAAACAGTGGGTTGGCCATCGAGATCGACAGTTTTTCATAATTTGTCCAGTTTTCAGTGTTCCTGCATGACCCATTCTTTTTAAGAGCCCGTTTGTACGTCCACGAAGGGCTGTACAGGGCTAATTCCTAGGGCTAGACCCTACTTCAACAAAAAGTGCCAATAAAATGCATCATGCTTCTCTGCCTCAGGGTCTTCTGCAGGTGCAAAGGTGCAGAAATGCTTCACCATCCAACAGCCATTTCAGATTCGACACATACAGGCCCCGCCTTGCCATTGCCCTTGTCCAGCAATGCGAAGGTGTACTCGCCAAATCCTGGTGTATCAACCTGCATTTCTGCTTCTAGTCTGCTCAATCGGCGATCTTCCTCCCCGATGTCCTGACACAACGCCCCAAGGTTGGCAAAGTCTGGCAGGAGATCATATCCATATCCCCATGTTTGCCTAAAGGCATTTTACGGTTGAGGGATGTTGAGGGTGAGTTCTTCAGTCCTCCTCGTTCAATTCCAAAGTTCCCCACTCTGACCATTCTCCACCAATAACTCGGGCACGAATGCGAACTGTCTGTGGAAAGCCGATGTCATAGATCCGCACCGTGTCTCAGCAGCTTTCTAAACAATTTGATGCAAATGCAAGCAAATGGGCCTACAATATCCTACAATCATCATCAATCATCTACAATCTGCCTCTTCAGGGCCAAATTACTATCGTGAACTTTTGACATGATTGAATTCGTTGATTGTCTGACAATTCCCTGGCGTGGTCTCAGAGTTTGTCTCAAAACTCTGAAATGTTGGGTAAACAAATTCCAACTGGCCTGTCTCCGCAATCTCAACTTGTCGTGAGGATTCAACAGCTTCACCCAAGCTGTGATATTGTACTTCAACTTTGCCTTGGCAGCTGGTCAAACTATATATGTCAAACTGCAAGGTTAAGTTGAAGAGAAGGAGTCTTCCAACAGACTCTTGGTTAAGACTCTCAGCGCTGCCTAATCTTAGCAGAGTCACACGGCAGGCATGACGTAAGCTGGAGAGGTGGCAGCAGCTTGACATTCATCAACTTCTCTGATGCTGGAGGTGCTAAGGTTTCGTAATCAACCACAGCAAGCAAGTGCTGGCTGCCACACCTTGTGCCAAACATGGAATCTGCCAAGCTCAAGCATACCAGGCTATAGCAGCTGGCTCCTAGAACCCATCATTCACCCATCGTCATTGCAGCTGGAGTGCTGGACGGAGGCATAGGTGCTGTTGAAGGAAAAGCTGGCCTTGCCCCACATATTTGGCTCGGTTTGCATCATCATCTCCCAACTTGTAGCACCCTGAGTCTTGCCAAGTATGCGTTTGCAGCTTGCAGGCACCTACACAAACACTCTATACAATAGCTTCCACAATGAACACCACTTTTACACGAGAACGTATGGTGTGAAACTTTGTGCCAAAAATATGGGGTCATGCTGTTGTCATCCTCTGGTTCAACAACTTTAAGACAGCAGCTGAGTTCAAACATCAAGAAGTAATTAAAGAGCTGCGAGCTTTGGTCTTAGGCAGCCGCTGTCACATCACATAACTCGTGCTTAGTATAAAGGGAAGGCAAGCGTCCTCATCTTCATCCTCCTCATCGTCGTCATCATCGTCGTCGTCTTTCGGCTGAGGAAGATCCAATGGTACACTAGCAAGGCCGCCAGGCATTAGCCATGAAGGAACTGCACCTGCAGAGTACAAGTCGAAGAACACAAGGCTATTGACTATCAACATTATATGCTTATGAATATGGACCTATATGGATCTTCAGCTAATGCTAGAATGCAAGCTGAGTCAGAATGTCGCACTTCCATTTTCTGCCCCAGCCTGGTGTGCAGCCATCCCGAACTTGAGATTCATAAAAGTCGGCCGTTCCATCCAGAAGGTCGGAGCTTGCACAGCTCGTCCAAACCCTAGGCGGGGCCAATCATCAAGGTCCGGTAGTAATGGGCACTTTGATGTGGTGGATTGATGAACATGAATCAGGCTGTATACAGTGCAGTAACCCAAACGAAGAATACATGTAAAGCTAGACTGTAGCCAACTTGAATACTACATATAATGTGTACAGAGTATATTCTCATATATATTTATATACAATATTTGTCTTGTTACATAGCGTGCTAAGATTAAAGCTAAGACCAAGCAACAGGGGCTTGGACCCGTCAAAGCGGAGGGCCAGCGGAATGGACGTCTCGTTGAAAATCAGGACTTTCCTTGGAACCCCGCACGTCACCACACCGCACACCGCATCATCTTCCTGCCACAGTAGGTGACACCACCATTGGCGACATCAACAGACGCACAAACAGCATCGGCGTCGGCACTGCCAAATCTCGTTGCCGAGAGACGAGGAAATCAAAACAACTGCACCGAGCACGCTGGGCCGCCGCAATTGCACGATCAGCTGCGAGTTTGGAATCCTCACGCTGAGTCTCATGCTGTCAGCATACCACAAGGTCTGGGCAAATGACCAAAAGGCTTCCAGCTACCCCGGCTCCTGATGCAGTTCAAAAGCCCAAGATCCAATCTGGCGATCTGGCGACGTGACGCAGGAACATGGGGCTCGGCAACCTAAGATCACAGGCGTAGCGGCTGCAGTGGTCTCCGCGAGAAAAGCCAAACAACCACGTCGTGGGAATAGAGGGTGATGGTCAATGATGTTACAAATGTTACAGCTGCAACAAATCGAATGCCACCACCACGGTTTCGGCGCATTTTGAGAAGACATGATGGGCACAACCTGTTTGTCGAAACCAGGCTGGCCATGCCCCTCATCAGTCTAGCTGCAGCCACCCCTACACTGGGTGGGAATGTGAAGTCGAGGTTATCGAGGCATCGCCATGTCTGGCCTGTAGGCGGCACATCCATCCAGGCCTCAGTAGTAGGACTGCTCCGTTCGTAGCGTCCTTTGCTTCTAGTAGTAAGGCCAGGAGCCCCTAGTAGTTTCTTGTTCCTAGTAGTAAGAATGCTCCTAGTAGCGATGCCAGGAGCCCCTAGTAGCGTCCTTGCTACTAGTACATTATGTTAGCAGTCCAGGTCGCATCTGCGGCAATATCTTTCAACTTGAGGTGCAACCTGTGAGCAATTAGTTCGATTCTCAAAACATGCTGAACCACCTCCTTTCTCTGAGACAACCCGACCAGCACGTCGAGGGCATCCTGAGCATCTGACCCAACTGGAACTCCGCTCAAATTCAAGAGGGCATACCGGACGGGCACTGGCTTTGGCTCGTCTGGCATAGGGACTACTGAGCCTGCCAGTCCTGCATCAAAAACTGCATCAGTAGCTGAAGAGATCTGAAGAGTAATTAGAATTTCTAGCAAGCACCATTGCAACCAAAATGCTGCGGCTATACCACTGGAGTCTTCGTAGAATGACTGGATTCACATTCAAAAGGAGGGGTTTGCGGCCGAACACATGGACTTCCGTACCTGGGGCCAAAGGCTCCAAAGCAAGGCAGAGACAAACCGGAGATTCAGATTGCTCTGCCAAGTTGCCCGTGATGTCATCTTTCACAAGCTGGCATCCAAGTTCAAAGGTTTCAAGAAGTGGCTCAAACCTGCCAACCTGCGAGCTTGCACAGCACAACACGCTGACCATCTCTCACCTGCCTTTTGCTGTATGCACCCCGGCCCCACCTCCAAATTAAATCCATCGGCTTTGACCCGCATCATCTGTTTGCAGGGGCCGCCTTTCAAGCCCACACGACAGCAAACGCATGCAAAGGCGTTGGATTTGATTCTCCGGTGCCTGCTGACAAAGCAAAGGTTTCCAAAGGCATGTGTATTTGTCTGCCATGCTGGCAAACCTCCACGGACCTCAGGGCGGCGAAAACACCTCAGTGTCATTCAAGAGCTTGTACAAATAGCAGCATTGGTGCATGCTTCATCTGTGTGAAGTGCCTAAGCATGGGTATGTGCGTGTGTGTGTGTGTGTGTGTGTGTGTCAAACCCTGTTCCTAAGGGTTTTTCACGTCGGATTCGTTTTTCCAGCGGGGGGGCAGAGAGGACTTGCAAAGCTTTGCCCAACGAAGCTCTTTGCAAGATCCTAGGAAGCGGAAGCTGATCACTTCCGTGTACCTGCTACCTGAACTTTTGACCACGCTGTCTCATTGGCCTTGTTTGTTTCCATGGTTCTTCATGCTACCACCCCCAAACCTTTTTCCCACCGCGGACTTGCAGCAGACTTGCGGCCGCGCTGAGTGTCCGATCGTTTTCGAGGGCCATTGAAAACACGGTTAAACCATACTGTTCTCGCCGACCTTTTCACCTTGCGGTTCTTCACCTTCCTTCTCAGCTTGGGAACTGAGCTAACTGAAAACCAATGTCAGAGTGTGAACCGCTCAGCCGTCCCACTTGGGTGCTGGGTGTGATCCCCGTCACTGGGGCGCTGAATTCATGCTGGAAATCGTGTAACAGATTCTTCGGCTCCTTCATTCCTTGGATTTTCTTAACTGACTCCTTTCCACCACTGGATCAACAGCTTTACGAGCCGCCGGGCTTATACGGTTTCAACTAACTGACTCTCCACCGTTTGCAGCTTGCCTTTGACTTTCAAGCATATACCGAGTCATGAGTTTTCACTGCATTTGACTTGAACTCTGATTCTACCCATTTAACCACAGATTCACATGTTTGCCGAGTTTTCAGATCACTAACCCGTTTTTCACCTTCATCTCTCTACGTCCTTGTTTTTCAGCACCCACGGGCACTACAGAGTTTACCACCACGCAATTTCCGTGGCCTTATCCTTACACTGCACATCAGCTGACTCCGACAGCAGCGCCAACATACCCAATTCCACAACATTTACCTCCCATGGTACCACAGGTACCAACAACCATGCCACAATTTCCTCATCCCACCATTCACCCTCAACACACATGGCCGCCTACTGTCCCATTTGAAGCACAACCGACACCACTACCACCTGTACCTCATCCTCCCACCTTTCCATTTCCTCACACTTTACCTCCAACAGAGCCCATGCTTCCCTCCACTCCTTGTCCAACGCCCTCTCCTTCTACAGCAGCCACTCCACCGCAACCAACTCCTGCCACAACCGTCCAGCCACTCATCGCCGCTCACTGACGGCGACGATCCACTGTGACCCCCAGCAAGGGGTATGGCAACCTTTCTCTGCCTTTCCGCCAGTGTTGCAACCTGGCCATCCGAGCAATGCTGCCAAAGCATCAACCCCTGCAGAACCTTCTACACTTGCAGAGTTACCTTTGCCTATCACAGCAGCGCCAGCGATTCCACCATCACCGGCTTCCACAGCTCCTTCTGCTCCTGACGCAGCTCACATGGCAGCCACAACCGAACAAACTTCCTCGGCCACCCTCCATCCACCTAACACACCACCACCGTCCACTCCCGCGGGATCCGTCCAATCAGGCGCCGCCAACAGCCAGCTGATCCAGCTCCAACTCATCCCAACACCTCTCCACCACAACCACAGCCTCACAAGCATAACCGCCGCCGCGAGAACGGCCGACGCCGTCGCCGCCGCCGACACCACAAAGATCGTTCCAGAGGTCGGTGCACACACCACAAAGAACGAAGCACATACCACCACAGATCTTCACGGCACCATCGCTCACGCCCTCCTTCCGCATCGTCCTATTCCTACTCTCACAGTCCATCACCTTCACGCAGCCGTTCCAGATCAGCTATCTCTCTACTCCCCAACACCGATTCTCTTCAGCAAGATTCCACCTCCAACCAGTCGCGGACCACCTACCCTACAATACCAGCGCTGTGCAGGGTTCGCAACTCATGGCGAGCCCCACCACTCTTTCATCAAAAACCCCCCAAGAGCAACTGGAAATTTGGATGGATTATCACGCCGATCAATTCGACACACCCAACAAACCCCAACACACTTACGTCGCTCGCCTGCTGCTTGACAGTGGCCTCACCTACAAAGACATTTGCGATTACCACCCACACAACCAATTTTTCCACCGACCAGTACTTTACAACCGGGAGAGCAGGTGGTGACCATCGCTCCCAACATCCACTACCAACTGCCCACCACTCCTACCGAGCTCTTGTTCTCCAGCACAACTCCACTCAGACATCTCCCACCCACTTCACCACACACCAAATGCAGCAAACGGACTTCATGATCGAACCACTACTTTTCCATGAAGAGCAGCAGGCCACTCCTCGGCCTGACACCTGCAATACTCCGACACAAACAGACCTCCATGCCATTGTACTTTACCCTCCTTTGCTTGAAAGCGGCAGCAACCAGCAACTTGCCCACCTCCTCTTCCACTGCCTCTCCTACCACAGCAACTCCACCTAACATCACTTCAGCCACAAACAAGCAACCAAAATGCAGATCACTGGAAGTATGCCGAGCTGATCCCTGGCCCAACTCTCGACAACCCAGACTACACCTCCCCTATCGGAGGAACTCCACGACGTGCCAGATCCAAAACACCACCCAGGTCTACAACACCAACACGCACCCGTCTCCAACCCAGGCCAAGCAGCCCGATCCCCACCGACTCTCCAACACCAACAACCGCCGCCAGCATGTGGCCAGCCTCCCGTTCCACCACCGGGATGGTGGCCCACGACACCCTCGGCATCACATGCACCACAACCATCTTCTTTGCCACAAGCCTTCTACGCCCAAACCCCTCATCCATGGCCAGCATACTACCAACCTCCACAGGCAGCACCTCCAACACAGGCTCCACCTCCAACACAGCCCACCTTTCCACAATCCAACCCAACTGCCTACCCACATTTGACGTATACCCATGGCCTTTGGCCTACCCTGGCACCGCCGACTATACCGCAAGAACCCTTAGCCATGGGAAGTACTGCGGGTTGATCCCAACCCGCAGTATCGCCGAATCAGTTTTCACAACACATTTACCTCCACCCAGACACACCTACCACCAACAACCACTACATACTCACTCTGGACCAGCTTGCATTGCCACCACATCCGCCTCTTCATCGATGCCAATCTGAACAGCACCTTCTACCCAACCAAAGCCCGTTACTTCCTCACTTTTCAAGCAGCCTTCACAAAATGGCTCCGACTTCAAGGGCTCCCTACATCGCTCACCCAACACTTGGAACCTTTCCTACGACTCCTGACAACCCACCTCAAGCAACACCCACGCTTCACCGCTCGCCTGCTTCAAGCACACTTGGGTGACAATGTCGTGCTCCACCACGCAGATCATGAACTCCAGCAGCTCCGAGTGTTCTGCCCGCCAATACTTCACAGGAGCACTGAACACATGGCGAGCCCCAGAACTTTTTGAACCACTACCACACCTCACATCAACCAACATCCATGACCGCCTCTCAGCCACCATTCCAGCGTGCCTCCGCTCTCGGTACAAGTGGGGCTTCCGAAAAGACTTCACCATCCCATACGGGATTGTCCACCTCAAAGCCAAAAAGCAATGGCAAAAAGGACGCACCACCATTTCTTACTTTCACTCCATGAGCGGCAACCTCTTACGCATTACCAGCCGTGCGCTTGACATCATTCTGCAACACCTTTTCCCACAGCACCCAGGCCAACTCTCCATTCCACAGCTTTGGCGCCACTTCCACTGCTACCTCGCCCAAACTCCCACCGACGTCACTCTCCATGCGACCAACGATGACCTTGTCGGCTTCTTCAACTCCGTGCCCCAACACCGCCTCATCGATGCTGTCCACTCTATGATCCAGCAATGGCAAAGTCAGCAGTCCACTCATACCTTGACTGTTGATACCAAAGCCACCGGCAAACCTTTCCATCATTCCCATGTTGGCAGGCACTACACCAAGCATCCCACACAACACACACTCCACACTTCCGACATCACTACCATTGTCACCTTTGCGCTCAACATCTGTATTATCCGGGCATGCAACAACACCTACAAGCAAATTCGAGGGGCTGGGATTGGCTCCCAACTCTCTCCTGCCCTATGCAACGTCGCCATCACCTTGATAGAACACTCTTGGCACCAGCTCCACAACAATCTCCTTCAACACACAGCACTCCACTTCTCTTACTACCGATATGTCGACAACCGCTTCATTGTGCACAACGAACACTTCCTCTCCCACCCAGCCATCCAAACCCTTATCCACCACAACTTCTTTGGTGATCCCGTCGAGCTGGAAAGTGCGGAGGACTTCCACCTCCTGGGATTCAACATTGACCTTCCCCAACGCACCATCACCTACATTCAACCCAACCAACCCTGGAAGATCAGGGATCCCACCAGCGCCGGCAGCCAGCGCTGGGCTCTATCTGGCCTTGCTTCACGCCTACACGCAATCTACACATACAGCTTTCCACCAACCACAGCAACGGCAGCAGCTGAGGAACTAGTCCGGCTATACGTCCTAAAGGGACACAACCCCACCGAATGCCGGCGCTTTCTACGAAAAAACTGTTGCATTGCGGACTCCCCCACACATGTGCGCCGAAATCGGCCATGTGTGTGTGTGTCAAACCCTGTTCCTAAGGGCTTTTCACGTCGGAATCGTTTTTCCAGCAGGGGGGCAGAGAGGACTTGCAAGGCTCTGCCCAACGAAGCTCTTTGCAAGATCCTAGGAAGCGGAACCTGATCACTTCCGTGTACCTGCTACCTGAACTTTTGACCACGCTGTCTCATTGGCCTTGTTTGTTTCCATGCTTCTTCATGCTACCACCCCCAAACCTTTTCTGTCCCACCGCAGACTTGCAGCAGACTTGCGGCCGCGCTGAGTGTCCGATCGTTTTCGAGTGTTGTTGAAAACACGGTTAAACCATACTGTTCTCGCCGACCTTTTCACCTTGCGGTTCTTCACCTTCCTTCTCAGCTTGGGAACTGAGCTAACTGAAAACCAATGTCAGAGTGTGGTGTACGTGTATGCGCAGATTCGCATTGCTAGGGGACAGACGAAGAACCGGAGCAGACCGGTCTATGTCACTGTCAAGCATGATCCCAATGTTCCTCACCAAACCAAACAAAATGGTCAAATGCATCTCAGCTCCAACAGCGTTGAAAGCTGGCAAGGTGATACGAGGCGATTTATCCAAGGCGCTGAACGTCCAACAGGAATTGGTATATTCGTCTTGAGGGTGAGTCCTCATGGGCCTGGTCAATGCGGGTCAACTTTTGCACGCTGGATCAAGAAATAGCGGTGGTTTAAATCACAGGAGTCAGGGCCTATCAAACGATAGGACTTCTCAATGCTTCAGGCCTTCTCTACAGGTGCTTGTATGGCGGGCTTTGCTTTGGGCTTCGGCACCACTTGGAGCTCTTCCACCTCTTCCTCCAATACCTCCACTTCTTCCTCTATCTTCATGGCTTCTTGGAGCACTTTGGGAATTGTAGCCAGAATTTGTATCAAGTCCTTGGTGCACAATACGACTAACAATTAGAGCACCAGAATAAACAAACTAGAATCATGACCGGATGCCAAAACCTTCAATTTTACCAAACGTTGGACGAAGCTCAGGAGATGCTTTGATCTCCATCGATTCAAGCTGCACGACAACACGCGCGCAGCTATCATCGAAAGCCAGCGTGGTGATTAGGGGCCTCGACCTGATGTCACTTGTTGCGGCCAAAAAATTGAGCTACTTACTTACTGCAATGGCCTCCAACATATGTAACAGGCATTCAGTACCTTCTCACTTTTCACTTGCGCCAAGAGTTCTGTACGGTTGAAGTTGCTCCAGCAATTCAGCCAAGCAGCGCGATCATGGGGTGCTTTACACCCTGCCGGGTCAGCACTGCCAATAAGGGTTCTCGCTCTGCCGGATGCAGTTGAACAGTGAGCTCACCAGACTCCATTGTAAAGGGTTTTTTGCTTTCCGCCGTCAAAACACCCAGGGATATATGGACTGCGGCCTCCAGAGCGGCAAGGTGACCATGCGGTGATCATGTTGCGCGTGATCCACATGTTTTTGCTTTATCCTCTAATATCCTCTTGCGCTACTAGGAACAAGAAGCTACTAGGGGCTCCTGGCCGTACTACTAGGAACAAGAAGATACTAGGGGCCCCTGGCCGTACTACTGGGAACAAGCAGCTACTACAGGGCTCCTACCATCGCTACTAGGAGCAAGGACGCTACTAGGGGCTCCTGGCTGTACTACTAGGAACAAGGAGGCTACTAGGAGCGAGGATGGCCGTCTAGGAAAAAGAAGCTACTAGGGGTTCTGGCATCTAGGCTACTGGCCGTACTACTAGGAACAAGGAGGAAGGACGCTACGGAGCTCCTGGCCGTATTACTAGGAACAAGAAGCTACTAGTGGCTTTTGCATCGCTACTACAAGCAAGGACGCTACTAGGGGCTCCTGGCCGTACTACTAGGAACAAGAAGCTACTAGGGGCTCCTGGCATCGCTACTAGGAGCAAGGACGCTACTAGGGGGGCCTGGAGCAGGTGTCTACCAGCCAGAAGACCCGTGGGAGGTGAGAGAACGGCTTCTGGCAGAGACAGGGAGAAGAGAAGATTTTTACTGCCGTCAGAAAGCAACGTTTGGCACCGAGAGAGCACCTCTGAGGACGAAATTAAAAGATTTTTTACTGCGTCAGAAAGCAACGTTTGGCACCAAGAGAGCACGCCCGAGGACGAAATTGAGAAGATTTTTACTGCCGTCAGAAAGCAACGTTTGGCACCGCGAGAGCACCTCTGAAGACGAAATTTGGGTCGTTTTTGGCGCGGAATTAGATTGTGGAAAGCTGTGGCGAGGGAGATCACTGGGAGCAGGTGTCTACCAGCCAGAAGACCCGTGGGAGGTGAGAGAACGGCTTCTGGCAGAGACAGGGAGAAGAGAAGATTTTTATTGCCGTCAGAAAGCAACGTTTGGCACCGAGAGACCTCTGAGGACGAAATTTGGGTCGTTTTTGGCGCGGAATTAGATTGTGGAAAGCTGTGGCGAGGGAGATCACTGGGAGCAGGTGTCTACCAGCCACAAGACCCGTGGGAGGTGAGAGACCGGCTTCTGGCAGAGACAGGGAGAAGAGGGCCGTCAGAAAGCAACGTTTGGCACCGAGAGAGCAACCTGCTGGCATCGCTACTAGGAGCAAGGACGCTACTAGGGGCTCCTGGCCGTACTACTAGGAACAAGAAGCTACTAGAACCTGCTGGCGTCGCTACTAGGAGCAAGGACACTACTCGGGGCTCCTGGCCGTACTACTAGGAACAAGAAGCTACTAGAACCTGCTGGCATCGCTACTAGGAGCAAGGACGCTACTCGGGGCTCCTGGCCGTACTACTAGGAACAAGAAGCTACTAGAACCTGCTGGCATCGCTACTAGGAGCAAGGACGCTACTCGGGGCTCCTGGCCGTACTACTAGGAACAAGAAGCTACTAGAACCTGCTGGCATCGCTACTAGGAGCAAGGACGCTACTCGGGGCTCCTGGCCGTACTACTAGGAACAAGAAGCTACTAGAACCTGCTGGCATCGCTACTAGGAGCAAGGACGCTACTAGGGGCTCCTGGCCGTACTACTAGGAACAAGAAGCTACTAGAACCTGCTGGCATTGTGCTCTTCTCCAACTCTCCAGTCTCCATGAACACTCCTGGCCTTGCCGAGAACTGGGAAGTAGATCCGCGGTGCTTGAAGCTCCACAGAGAGTTCCAGCTCATCTGGAGTCCTTTTCTTTGCCTCTTCCACCATGTCTAAAGAAAAGTCAAAAAGCAATAGGAAAATTCATAATATTACATAATGTTGCTTTCTGAGTCTAAAGGTCCAAACACAAGGGAATTATATAAACGAAAAGGAAAGAATTGTCTAAAGGTCCAAAGTATTTAGAACAAGAAGAACGAACAAATGACGGTGCCCCCTAAAGCAGTTCTTCTCTTGGCCTCTTCTAGCATATCTTTGCCTGCGCTTGTTTCCATCCATGCCTCACAGCTTCGCTCGGTACGCAAAGCTGCCCATGATTCCCTATACTAAGAAAGCTTGCAATACCTTCTAAGCGAACCTTGCCCATTGCGTAATAGCTTTGGAGGACCTCTTCTTCCTCCTCCGTCTTCTTCTGCTGGACTATATCTTGCATCTTGGCCTGATCGTCCCAAGCGCTAATTAAGCTCTAAAGAAGCATTCAACTGCTCTTGGATTTAAATAACTTGCAATCGTTGGAAGTCGAGGTGCATTGGGCTTAATCTCCTCTTGACTTGGTTCCTGCTTTGTCGCCCTAATGATGTCCGTTTGTAGCTTTCGAAGACTGCGAATCAAAGAGTCATGGAAGAACAGCCTCAAACGTGGCCAAGACAAATCCAAGCAAGCAAAACTGAGGTCGAGCCACTACTCAAACTCCAAGCATAGAACCAAGCCACTCAAGGGGCTGCATGGAAAGGCTAACAGCAATAACGTTTTTGGTTTCTTCCAGTCCTCGGTGGAAAGATCTGGACGATGCCAAGCCGTGTAAATGACAACACGTTCTTGTTGGAAGAATGCCTTTTATCGACTTGTGTGGATAACAACGGTCGATTGTATACAAGGTGCTGTTGTCCAGATTTACTCTGAAGGCAGGCTTGTCATTCGCCGTGCCGAATCGCAGCATATTATCATACTGATGATTGATGCCAATGCCTCATTGAAATGCATTGGTGCATCACAACTTCTACACCTCGTCTGCAGCAAGTAGCGCCGAATGATCCGGACTGCGATAGTTCACTGAAACAAGGAGATGCGTTAAGGAGTCAAGCCTGAGTCATGAATGGTTCTTGCCAAGGTGCTGAAAGACTGCAGAACAAAACTAAAATCCCAATCTGCACTTTGCTCTCCGCGGTGGTCGACCTTGCAAGTAAACACTTGTCTGATCCCAGTACCGGTGTCCACAAAAGTAATAGTAGTAATGATATATACAATTATATACAGTAAGTGTCCTTGATCCCATTTGATCCCGCAGGAAGTTCAAACACCCCCGGCCTTCTGGCTGACGTTTGCAACCAACCCAGCGGTGTTCAACGTAACCTGTAAAAGTTGGTCCTGGATGCAGCTCTGGATTCGCTGATTCTGCTGAAGGATATCTCCAGCCAATGCTTAGGATGTGTGACTTAGTCTTACACCAAAAATTCTTACTGTAAGTCCCAATGGCAAAGCAATCGCAGCTACCCAACATGACAAAAAGTTGAAACGCATAGTCACATGAGTCATATGAAACAGTCTCTGCTAAAGCCCCTCCTCTTGGTCATAAAGTTCTAAAATCAGCTTCCCGATCTGGAGTTCCAGGCTAAAGTCGTTCGGAACGATCACATCTTTGAGCCCCTTGGAAAGCGAAGCAGTAAAGCCTTGAAGCTATCGATTCAGTGAAAAGCCGGTTGAACGAAAAACATGCTGCCATGATTCCATAACATGTATACAGTATATATACTGTGCGCACGTTGTTAGAGGGGGTCAGTGCAAATTCCTCGCCTCCGCCTCCTCATGAAGCTCCTTCATCATCCTCTGTGGATCTTTCTGCATGGTATCCTCCAACAAGCTTGAGTAACATCCATATAATATGTTCTGTGGCTTCGGTGACTATCTGTCCTCACTCCAGCAGGAGCACTTCTGGAGCATCTTGTTGTGCCAGGATGCCTCCTTCTTTGCATCCCTTTTTCTCGCCTCCTGCAATTCTTCCATTACCTTGGCAGTCTGCCGGTCCGTAAAAGAACAACTGGGGTGCGGGATGTTTCTGTGTTCAATGGCACCGGTGGACCAGTATCCATGCATCAAAGCCAAGAATACAACAAACTTGCTGAAGGCCTCTGCAGCAAACCACAAATCAACTGGCTACTGCTTTCCCTGGGAGTGGCTGCTGCCAAGGCACGGGCATAAACCATTCAGCTTGCATTGGCAGTGGCACAACGTCTCGCATCACTTGCAAGCGCCACTGCTCACTTTCCTTGGTAGTGCACCCTTTGTGGGCCACTTTGTGGTTATCTAGAACCAGGATTTCTGTCAGCGTAAACTGATGATTCGACAGGATGACTCTTCGTCCAAAGGCTCTTCCAGCTCTTGCAATCTTTTGTGGGACACAACTTCCAGCAGCTCCTTGCGGTAATATCTGGTCGAGAGTGCGACATACCTTAGCAGGCGTAAAGGATTTCGCCTCCAGTGCATGTCAACAAGCGAGATCTCCAAGAATTTGTTCATTTGACGAGATTCTCTCGGTCGGCTTTCTTGATTCCCTCTTTCGTGTGCAAGTTCACCATTCGCTCTGCCCCTGGTGGCATGAGAAGCGCCTCATGTTGGTTCAACTGGCATTTGAGAAGCGCATCTGACTTAGACTAGTTGGCCTCTGCCCAGCTTAGGCCCTTAGGCTGCAGCATGCAATCTTTTGCTCTCTTCGCCAAGAGCATTTGAGAGCATGATGCAGGCCGTGATTTGCTCCCCTGTCAAGGTCCTAACATGCAGCTTCAGCAGAATGAGACATATATACATACCCAAAACATTGCATATGAGAACAGTGTGCTTTGGCATCGCCAAGCTTCACTTCATCAGGAGGTTTGGGACGACCATCACGGCCTTCAGGAAGGCCAAAATCAATCTCCGCTTGCATCTTTCCGGGCCCGGCAAGGAGAACCAGCTGCAGCCGATGCAAAGAGATCATGTTGGAGGAGACTTTGTAGCCACCCTTGACGTAGAAGTTGTTGAAACCAATCGCCTGCACTGTCAGCCAAGGTCAAGCAACTCAAGTTCAAACGAAACTCTGCATATAAGCCCGTGCAAATCCCTGCAATGTTGTGTGTATGGTCTCTGCAATGCATAGTGTGGTCTCTGGTCAATTTGCTATGCACCAATGCAGGTGCAGTGCTTTTTGCAAGCAAGTGCCTTTTATGCAATGTTGTGCATGTCACGTAGAACCGCAAGTGCTAAAGCAACTTGTTGTCTGTGTTTGTTTGTCTGCTCATGTTTGCTCGGCATTCTTTGTAGTGGAGTGTGCCTTGTAGAGACTGCAACACAGTGCGTACACCGCGGCCTTTGTCAGTATGTGCCCCTATTTGTCCCTTGATGTTGTCCGCAATGCAATGGCACCGCAACCCCATGACTCAGGACAAACTTTCGATGACGTGCTATCTATACTATACTCTATGCTGCGTACCTTCCACCCATTGAAACACGCTCTGGAAAACTATGTGACATTGCGACTGCAACTGCTAGCCCGATTTTCCCAGGCAATGCTCAAGGAAGACATGTCCTCACAACCATGGAAATCGAGTAAGGAGAATCAAGTTTGAGCTGAAAGTCCAAGAGCACCCAGTTTTGATGATGAATGGACATAAGGGAAGCACGACCTTAACTTAACCTCTTCAGACTTAACCACCCCATTGAAGTACTTCAACCCTGTCTTTCCTTGAGCAAGCGATCTCAATGGCTGAAGTGGATGCTGGCGGGTACGGAAAAAGTGCGATATGGAGGGCCCATTGTTTTAAAAGGTGCGCATTGTTGTCTCTGTTTCGTCACAAGAGCATTGCGCACTTTGCCAAAATCGATCTCCCTCCTGGCTGCTGGAACTGTGGGTCAAGAGTCTGAAACATGGAAGGGCAAGTAGGATTGAAATTGACACCTGATTAGTTTTATATCTTATATAAATGCTATAATTAAACGTGATTAAGGCTTAATTATTCTGCTTCGGTGGCATTCTAAACAAGTCTCCGAGGAAGATGTTGAATCTCCTCTGGCAAACTTTGAGGGCTCCCTCGAGTTCCCCCGAGGAGACAGACTCCAAGCAGGTGACTGGGCCAAGCAAAAAGAAACATTCATGAGAGACGCTAGAAGCATTCGGGAGGGAATCCGCGAAGAGGGAAAACTATGGGTTTGGAGAAAAACTGCGAATACACACCCACATGACGTTCCAGAAAACAAGCTCCCTCACGGTGACCTTGAGACAATCGCCAGAAGCAGCACTCCGTTTACACCTATCTCTCTGTTTTTTTTTGGCAGCTTGCAAGCAGGCCTTGGTGAAGCGTGCTCCATCCTGCGGCGTAAAAGGAGCACAGTATAATGTAGTATAATTGAAAAGTTCCAGTTTCCTGTTGGAGAATGTGTGCTGTTGAGAAAAATGAATGTTCAAGCGGCACGGCAGTCCACGTCAAAGTTGGAAGTACTTCTGGAAACCTGCCGCAAGCTCTGCTTCAGCAAAAAATGAACGGTCACGCAATCAGCACCTCAACATCCGTCTGTGTTGTCGTCGCTTTCAGAACCTCCTGATGCCCAGTCATTTTGTGCACAGGTTGGAAAATGAAGGCCATCTGCTATCTCGCTCTACTGTCAGGGGCAAACTAACATTGGTGCTTTCTACAATCACATCAGCAAGAGGACGCTACTACGAACAAAGGGCATCGCTACTAGGAGCAAGAAGCTACTAGTAGCAGCTCCCTACATTACTGTACTTGGTGGTTTTGTTTCATTCTGAGAACACGCCAAGCAATAACTGTGTCGACTCCTCCTCCGTCGGAGCTTGAGCAAAAAGCTCTCCCAGGTCCACAGCTACATGGGCGCCACTCTCGGGGTCCGACACACGGCACGAAAGTTCGCCTTGGACAGTCTGGGATAAACCCGACAGTTCTGCCACAGTTGCCACAACTTGCCAACACGCATAAAGAAAGGGAGACCTACAAAAAAGGCTCCTGTTCGTACCTGTTCCACTTACTTTTATGTAAAGTAAATCGAGGTGGTGCAACAATGTTGAATGCTCAGATCTTTTGCCATACCTGCTGGCTTGTGACCTGCAGCATTGCTTCTCGGCACTGCTTCATGCCGAGCCACTCATCTCAATCTTCACATTGGATATGAAATGCCGTGCAACTTTGGCAACCATCCCGGCATCTATATCTTTACCTTCGACAACTCAATACAAAACAAAAAAGGGTTGGGCAGCAAGGCAGCAATGAAGTCCTTTTCTGGCCTTCTTGCTTTGCAGCTTCTACGACTTTCTGGTGCTTTCTAACCTCTATCTGTTGGGCAGCCTGCAAACAGATTGCACAGTGAGAGACCGTCGGTCATTGCGCCAGCAAGATCACATCCCACTACTGCAATTGGTCCAAAAATCTAAGAGCCAAATGAATAGTGCGAGCGTGATTTATCCTGCGTCCTAGCTAGTAGCTACCTGTTGCTTCTCGTTAGCTACCACATCTTAGCGGCCGACCTCCCCCCAAAAAAGGATGTTCTAGGAAAACTGTCTTGTTAAATCGCGTTGCCCATTCTATGTCCAAACACCGCCTTGTGTTCAACTGCGTCCAAGCGCGTCTGCCGCAGCTCCGCCAAGCGCTCCTTTGCTGACTTGCTGGTGGATTTCTGGACTATGGCGTGCACCTGGTCAGAAGCAAGCTCCAATAAAATTAAGAGCAACTAAAATATACAATATATACATAAAGGTCAACAAATTGGGAACTGCACTGTTCTCGTATGACAACACCTCAAGACTTTTGCACCTCAAGGTTCTGCACTTTGATGCTGATGTCCCCGGAGAATCTTAGTTACTCCGCATTTGGCATGCTTGGTTCAATCTTGAATCTTGCTCCTGCTTTCATTTTGGTATTGTCAGCTAGCACTTGGTGCTGAACGATAGACATGATTCCACATAGCGCCAAGACACAGAGCAAGGAAAGGAACTTCGATGTCCAACACCTTCAGCTCCCCAACCTGTTTCGAGACTTCGGCCGAAACCTGTGAACTGTTTGGTTCATCTACAGTGTCTACAGCCTGTAGTTCAAGCTCACTGAAGCCCAGAAGAGCACACAGGTGGCTCTTGAGCTTCAAGTTCTTGGCGCTCATCTTTCCAAGGCGGAACCGCAGATTGGTCTCAGCAAAGGCAAAGGAGAAAAGAATAGAAAAGGAGAAAATGCGCAAAGCATCCAGTCTTGCAGCCTGGCATGTCTCACAGTGTCACCATCCAGTGTTGCACGGTCTGACAACATCCAACGTTTTGCAACTGCCAAGGTTCTGAGGACATGTTCTCCAAATATGGCGCCAAGTATTTCTCCAGCAAACTGTTGATGATTCCCTCGAACATGGCTCTGGTGCAAATCTGAAAGCTTTGCTGTGGCTGCGAAGCACGGCGAAGGGGGCAATAGCAGCATGCAAAAGCCACCCAACAAGAGCAGGTGTGCTTTGAAGTGTTGCTAGTTTCAATAACTGCACATCTAATTGTCTTCCAGTGAGCTTTAATCTAGAATCTACGGTATATGTAGCTTTTGCACAAGGTTATGATAGGCGAATTCAAGATCCGATGTGCAGCTGTCCTACGGCAAATCCAGGCCTGAAGGGCCTTGGGCAAAATGATCATGAGGTCGGACTGATTGGCTGTCCAAGACTCTTGCATCTTCTGCCACAAGACTCACTGCCAAGTTTTCTTACGCGCGCCAAGAAAACTCGTTTGCACTCGATCTTGACCTTGGGCCATAAGATTTGGTACGAGATCAACTGACCTCCACAACATAGCTCCCTCTTGTGTGCAGGGAACCACCAACCGCCCTTTGGCGCTGAGGGTGAGAAAAAAGAAGACAGGGGATGGTTTCCATGCCCTGTGAGAGCATTATATAATCCTAAGAGCGCTTCTCAAATCATCTTCTGCCTCAGTCACACGCATCGTCCACTGAGTACATTCTGTGTCTTCACCAGCCATGTCAATGTAGTATGCGTTCCTGCCTGAACAGCTATCAAGTTCAAGTTCCTTGACCTTAAGCAACACAAAGGTTGATTGCATAGATTGATGTGTTCACCCATGCTAAAAGAAACAAAGTAAAGCATGCCAGCCAGCTGTGCTCCACACTGAGTGCTTCGTAGCTTCGCACTGACCGTAGCCTCACACTCCGCACAACTACTCTGCATTTCCTCTGCATTCATGGCTCTTTGATTATCTTTGGGGCTGTGCACAGCTGAGCCCTTTGGATTCGATCATCCAAAGGTCCAAGAAGTGCTCTAAGACTCTAAGAGCATGGCTCTGAGATAGCACTTGCTAAAGGAGAGAGGCCTCGATCCGCACCACAGCACGCAGCACTGCTGAACTTCTGCACGAGAAGAAACCAAGAATGAAGTTCTGTTGCAGTTTGCAGATATGCATAAAGAAATGTATGCAATTTAATGTATACACAATACAAATACATAAATGTAAACATATACAGTATATATGTGCATACATATGTGTGCGATATATGATCTGGCAGCTTGGACAAGCGAAGCTTGTGGCTTGTGACTTCAATTTGTGCTAAGCACCGTTTCAAGTCCTCTCGCTTTGGAGAGTTGCATTGGCCCGAGCTGGACATCCTCTTTGGACAATGTGGATGGCACCAGCCACCAGCTAGCTTGTAAAAAGGTCAGCATCTGTGCGGCTTGCAAGCTGTCCCGAGTCCAGAGCAAGGAAAACTATCTGCAAGTGCAGTCTTCAGCAGCATGTAAGAAATTTGCTATGCTACTTCCCTGAATGTGCTGTACAGGGGAAGCGGAAAGCCCAGACTCTTGTGTAAGAGGAAGCTGCCGATTCAATCAACACCTTCGTGTTTTCAAACAGTTTGCCGGTTCAGCAAAAGACCTTAATTGTCGAGCGAAACGACGATGTCACGATGTCTACAAAAAGCAACGCAATTCCTCAAAGCAGCCCATCGAAGTAACAGCTTCGTTGGTAAAGCCTTGGTGCACACACACACACACACCAGTGACAGCACCCAGCCACGGGTTGAACAAGTCTTGAAAGCTCAAGCAACATTGATACGATTCGCCTGCACTGGACCTGCAAAACACAACACATACTTTGCATACCCAAATGTTCCTCCACCAAGCCGAGAGCCATATGAAGTTTCATGAGTGTGGAATTTACCGCCTTTTCGCACTGTGGTTGCATCCTCGACATGGTGAACCATTTGCACTGCATCACTCAACAAGAACCCTTTCACTTGGTGTAGACTTTGCTTGCAGGGTCTAAGAGCTTCTTGTAACTCGCATTTCTTAATGTCTGACAATATCTATAGCCTGTTGAGGACAATATCACCTCAGAACTCCCAACAATACAGTGTCCAAAATGATTGCTTGTCATACAGCGCTAGCCAGTAAGTAGCGGAGGCAATACCACCATACACCAAGGTACATCATATCATCTGTCGGGGTGCCATGAGCTGCACCCCTCCTCTCACACACTGCCCGTCATCGTTTCAGCATGTGCAGCCATCACCCCGACATCAAGCACATAACTTTTGTATGTACGAAGTATGATGCTAAAATTCCCACCGATGTAATTGCATAGTCACCACCAGTCATCCATTCAAGAGGGGTGTAGTGCGAAAAGTCGAAACAATGGATTTGACATTCCAACCAGGACCTTGAATGAGGTGGCAACGACGTTTCTTAGTTGGGATGTGACAAGCATGCAAATCTGGCCAAGCAGCTGCAAACAAGAACGTCGTCACTGCTGGCGACTACGCCTCGATGGCAACACAAGCTGACCAAGACGTGACAGCCAATGGATATTCTGTTCCCAGTTCACACATCGCCCTCGACAAGACTCATTTCCTTTCAACAATTCTTTGTAAGATCTTGTAATTGTAATTAAGCGAGTTGCGCTCATCCTTCGTAAGATCTGGGCCAAAGAAGTTTCCTGCCTGACTTCGCGCAACTTCGGCAATGGCTAGTAGCTCCACTGACTGCAAATGGTTCAGTTTGTTCGCGGCCTTCAAAGTTCGCACAGTGCGGCCACTCCGAACCACGTTGCAAACGCCTTGCCCCAAGACACGGAGCCGCTGGCAGCCGAGAGCGACCAAATCTCCCATAGCATAGGACCTCCATTCTGGAAGGGTTGCTCCAAAAAAGACATACTGATCCTCTTCAAATACCGATTCAAAAGTTGAATGGTGTTTTGGAGACGGATGTTGACTACAAAGTCTTAACTTCCGCCCAAGCGTTCATCTCCTTGCCGACAAGGTTCTCGAAACCAGCCGTCCCCAGCAGCCGATCCACGTCCAACGGTTGTTGATGATTGGAAAGCTTGGCCACAGACTCTTGGCCTTAAAATGGGTTCCAGCATGGTGGTCTTGAGTCTGACTTAAGCTCGTATCACCGTGTCTGATGAGATGGATTGATGACAACAAGGCAGACCAAACCCTTCTGGGACCTTGTCACCTGCATCCTACTGTAGGATGTCCTAAGGGTCTGAAGGCCGGGCCCACAGTTTCTAGGACTTGCCGAACTTTTTGACGGCCACTCTCCTGCTGGGCTTCCACCTGCAAACCCACACTCATGTTCCCCCATGATCAAATATGTATCTTGCTGGTCATGCTTCGGGTCTATGTCTGCCCAAAATCCATCTGGGAAAAACCTGCGTGCCTCCGCAAAGCTTGCACCATAGCGCTCCGCTGCCGCCTGCAATGCACCTTGAAGATCTTGCCCTACCTTCTGCATGAGCTCTTGGAACACCTGTGAAGCTCTAAGAACATTCAGCCGCGAGCACAATTTGCACGTCAAAGACCTTACAGTAAAATCTTGACCCGCCGCTTGCTGGGGTCCCATGAATTGACCAAGCCTGGCCTGACCCTCCATCACAAGCAACCGGACATCGCCTCGGCAAAGTCACTTGACCCTGTCGGACACGTTCGACCTCTGCCAAAAAGATCTGCCCAGTGGCTAGCTGCCTTCACGCTCACTGGACTGGGCGCCTGAAGGATGAGCGAAGCCTCTCCAAAGCAATCCCCAGCGTGCAACTGCGCCACAACTTCGCCTCCTCCTTAACAATCCAAGCAGACCGCCAAACTGCTCCCGATGCTGCAATCCAGAAAACAAGTTGTGCTAGTGGACACATAGCTTCACACAAAAGATGAGAGAAACTGTTTTGGCACCCTTCAAATCAGCTACATTAGCCTTCAACATCGCAGAACGAAGTCCACTTGCACTTTTGAAGAAACGAAGTCTAGAGCCGTCGGCCCATCATGCTGGATTCAAGGCTCTCATGACGTCGCAGATTCCAGTGAGTATGGCATAGAAATTCTGTTGATCTGATAATGCTGACTGGCGCAGGAGCCTTGGAAGCAGAATAGGCAGCATCCCCTGATTTACCCTCTCACTCATATAGATGGTGCATGGTGCTGCACACATAGATCGGCTAAGAGGCACATCGTCTTGCAGCCTTTCTTGCACAACGAAGTTTTGCGCCAACAAAGCACATACATCCTCACATCATCTGCTCACTCCACCACACAAGTGCACAAGTGTGTGCTGAGTGTGGGCGTGTTGGCAGGGTATGGTGCCACGCTCAGACAAACACAGGTGCCTTCATGTTTCTATTAGGTTGGAGGCCCACACTCTTAGGTTGGACTAATGAGTTTTTTTGATGTTTCTTCAGTGTTTGCCAACCGCCCTTTGAAGCCTTGCAAGGCCTCCGACGTGCACTGCATTGCTCTGAGCTCCGTCCTCCTCTGCTTTGCTGAAGGCACGTATGCTTCGAACACTGGAGATTCGAGTCGCACCCGCGGCAACTCTGGCCTTGGCAGCTGTGGCCCACAGCGCTCCAAAGCACCCTTGCGCATTTCTGAGGTGATTGTCTGCCTAGGCGCCTGGCAGACCGTAGCAAAGCCAGCCATGTTTGATTCCGACACACGAGTTGGGAGTAAGACCTCAGATTGACTGGCACATTCTTTTGGGTGCTTCTGCGGAAACGACCTGCCACATGGGTGAGTGGCTCGTCGGCAGACATCAAAGCCGTTTGCATTGGCGGCTGCAACCTTGTGCACGCGGGAGTTGCTTCCCAGAAGATGTGGAACAAGTTTAGATCCAAATGCATCATGACCCATGACGAGCCTGGAGAAAAGATCCAGGACAGTCTTCCAAATGCTTAACACAAACTGCTCGATGAGGAAAACCAGAACTCCAGGAGAAAACTTCATCGTAGGCTTCATTTGCAAATGTCCCACGAATTGCTTGACTTCCTAGTGGGAGCACGCGAATTGTGCATCTGCAACCCCAGCACAAGAAAAGAAAGCCCGAAACTTGGCAGCTTAGCTTTAGCTGGTGGAGAAATGCCGGAAACTATATATATAATCCAAAATACATCAAAAAACTGCATGAACAGTTTAAGAGAAAAAGAAAAGCGAACTACTCGTGTTTGGCTTGATTCGTTGGACGAGCTTTCCCGGTTGCTTTGAATGCGCTCTTCCAGAAGGCGAGAGCCAATGTCTGCAAGTGGCCTCAGCGTGCCTGCAGCTCGGTGTGCTATCGACAAAAAACATGATTATGAATGATTATGAGGGTTCTTTAACATTGCATCGCATGTATATAATTATCTTGCCTTGCATGTACACCGCATCGCAGTGTTGCATATGTTGCATTTACATACTGTTGCAGCCACAGGGCGTTGTAATCGTATGGCACTGCCCTTGCCCTTGCACAACGTTGCATGTCATAGCAATGCGTTGCCGTTGCATGGGGTTACACTTGTGCGCATCTTTCTTTGTTCTTTCTTGAGCCGGGGGTGGTGCCGGCAGATGCTATCGGGAGTCAACGGTCACACATGAGCGTGGCGGCTTTCGGCTCCGAGCCTGTCTGGGCTCAGAAATTGTGAAGCGGTAAGTTGTCCGTGTTACATTGTTACATGGTCGGTGTGAATTGCTGGTGATGCAAATTTAGGCGTTTCAGCTGGTGTTCCCAACTGGGGCTTGGCACGCATTGTCGCCTGAGTGGCTAAGGTTCAGACATTCTGAAGGCACGGCATTAGAGGCTTCGCAGTGCAAGCAGTTGCCACTGGATCCGGCTTCGAGCAAACAGCACACAAAAGAAAAATACTGTTGGTGCAGTTTTGCCTCTAAATATCATGAATCATGATCGATGTCGTACCGTATCATATGTTACATTCATCTGTCACGGCATGCAGCATTACTCACAGTGCGTTCTCGCATTCAAACCATATCGTCATCCGTGTTCCATGCCAGTTACGTGTCACTGGATCTTGTCCGCGGACTCACGAGAGCAAGGCCGCCTCGTCCAAGCTGCTCAATGAAGAAGCCAAAAACAAGGGGCCCTTGGACCTAAGAATCTGCAGGAATCACAGGGCTGCTGATGTGACAGCATGAAACACGCGCAGGACCTCAGCCTGCGCCAAATCGATCGAGCTCCTTATCTTGGACTGACCAGCCCCAAAGTTTTCGTATTCTGATGGCTGATCTGCTACCTCACCTCCAATCCTCGAGGTTGCCAAAAATTGATGTTGCAAGTTGCAACCTCCCCGGCTTTTCTCCCGAAGGGCCCATCCCTGGACTTCATGGGAAACGAATGGAAAAGCTGCTAATAGTTGACTAGCTGAGGGGCCAATGCATTTGCGCGGACCTCCGCAGCTGATTGAAGTTCAATAAGGTCCTGTAAAAAGCGATGAACGAAAGCTGAGGCCCGCGAAGTGACATGAAACCGTCTGTCTGGTCAAGGGATCGAACCTATGACGTTCCTAGCTGGCTGTCCAGCAAGGCCCATGCTTCTTCAGCCCTTTGGTCCGAAAAGGCCGCCATGCTGCCTTCCAGACAGGGCTCAACTGGGTGGGCTAACAACGCATACGAAAAGTTTGCATGGAAAAAAGGCATTGAGCGAAAATGAAAACAAAACCATGCGCATCAACGGATTCGAATGCGTTGGCTCGGCGAAACAGTTAGTCATGTCCCAGTTTCAAGTGTGCGTTCATGCATGTTTCGCGGACATGGCGCTGCTGATTTCAAAGTTTTTCATGCTGCAACCTTCAAAATCGAAACATAATTAAAACCTTTGCAGGCAATCCCAGTTTTTCACCGCTATCATCGAGAGTGCGGATACTGTATGCAGAACAGCCAGTGAAAGAGAGAGAGAGAGATGACGACGAAAATAAAGAAGGAAGAAGGAAAGAGAGCGAACAAAAGGAAAAGGGGAAGGAAAGAACAGCAATGGGCAGATTGACCGGGAATGTGTGTGATTAGAGCTGAAATTGTCATGCAGGGTTAGAACCTGTGGTGGGGCATGCAAAGTTGACAGAAAAACGTAAAAGCGTCTGTCATTAGCAAAACGCAGGTCATGTATCTAAACATTTATATCTGCATATGAACATGCATATGTATATAGGTATATACTATATATATAATATAGTGGTGTTTTTTGCCCCATCCCATCCTTTTTCTTTAACCCCCCCGGCCGCCCCACAAATACCTTTTGACCCCCCGGAGCCGGAGTTCTTCCCACATTTGTTACCAAAGCACCGGTCGCTTCGTCCTCTTTGAGTCTACTTCATTCGCACTCGCGCGCGGCGCCTCAGACGCTGAAACGACCCCGTTCACATAGCAGTTGCAAAGCGGCCATGCGAAGCGACTCATCGGGATGTTGGGTGGAAACCTCACTGAATCCAAGTTCTTTTCCATCACATCTCACCATACTTCGTCCACATGTGGTACCAAAACACACTGCAGCGAAGGTCGCCCGTTACGTCGCGCAACTCTATACACCCCAGGGAGTTCCACAAATCATATGACAATCCGTACCTCGCACGCGCGCGGCTTGCCAAGCAGTTCCGCACGCCAAAAGCACATCACTTTCGCACGGGCAGTTAGCAATCAAGCCCGCCTACTTAATTATGAAGGCGCCATGTCACAAACCTCACCTTTCGCGCGCCAACGCTCAGTCACTGGCGCGCCAAGCGACTCGCTGGCACATACACGCAATTCGCTATATTGGAGATCTGCAAGTTTGCTCGTGTCTTCACTTCAACGTAATGCTGCGCATTCCGTTTTTTCTCACCTCGTTACAGGGTGTCGGTGTCTGCGACAAGCGCGCAAAATATCTTCAACTCTCTTCGCGGTTCGGCTACTACGCAACACACGCGTCTGACTTACTTGGACACTGCGCCACACAGTGAACCAAGGCGCCAACTTGCGCCAACAATTTCGTTTGCTGGCCTTCCATACGTCCAAGCGGCGTTCCAAAGTGAACACAGATTCCGCAGCAAACCTTCTTTCCCACATCACGGCTCCTTCTAGCAACTCCAAGACGCCACAAAACAAAGCCGAAGGACAGCTCGCGTCCAAAACCACTTCCGCGAAATTCCAGTCGTCTTTCCGCATACCATCAGAAGCCCCGATCTACCTGCAGATAAACTGACTCATGGCCATCGAAGTAGGGGTCCCCCAGGGTTGACCCCCCCTGCCTCATAGGAGTAGCAATAGTGACTCTCTACTAATATGATGATGTTAAAGACTATTGAGTGCTTATTAAGCACTAACAGTGAACTGTAGGAATTCACCTTAATAGGCCTTAATAGTCTAAAATCCTTATTTTGATCTCTGGATTGTCAGCTGAGATTGAAAAAGAAAACATGTAATCTCCATTGACCGCCAATTCCTCCCAATGCCGCACATGTGTCTTTCACGGCTGTCACTTCGTGATCCGTTCTTGCATGCGCAGCCTCACGACAAGGCATTCAAATACTCCTGGACATGAGCTTCAGTGGGAACAGGAAGGGTTTCCTTCGGAAACCTGCGGTTCCACCGACTGAAAGCCCAATGGATAACTTCCATCAAGGCCGTTACCTCATCCCTCTTAGCGCCCCAACTCCGAGAACAGGAGCTTGGAGATTCACCGGGACCTCAATGCAATTCAATTGCCAATGGTCTTAAATAATTACGACAATGTAGTTGAAACATTGGTATAGTAGCTTCAATAATACTAATTGACGCTTTCTGCAGAGGGTATCACTTTTCAACTTTTATTCCAAAGAATGAACTTGTATGCCCAAATGAAAAAATCAACAAATGTATGTTCTGCTCAACGTTAAAGTCACAAAGATCATCCACTACTCTGAAATGAATTGAAGACAAGTGACAAGGAAAAACAACTTGAGCAAAAAGCTTGGTGCGGTCGTGCTTGAAGCTCAGGCCCTGAACATTCTTCTCGGCAAAAGCGAAAAGGGAGCGAAACTCTCTGGGCGTAACCTTCGTATGGCTTTCCCCACAGCGAGATGCTGGCGCAGGTGCGTTTGCAGGAGCATCAGCAGAACCAGCGCTCACATTCGCAGCATCCATGTCTTTCTGCATTTTGTCTATCTTTTGCTTTGCTTCTTCCAATTCCTTTTTCAAAGACTCATTGAGCTCGCGCTCAAGTTCCTCTTGCTCTTGATTGCGAGCCTGTGCAGCCTTCTTCAGCTCTTCTCTAGCCAAAAAGACAACCTTCTTGAACTCAGTTTGGTTCTCCACATCGAGTTGCGACACCATAAACTCAAAAGTATGCTGCTTGATATCAGCATCTGTCTCCGTGTCTGCACTTCTTCTAGTCACCGGCGCAAGGACATCAACCATTCGCTCAATGTCTGTCTGCAAAGCTTCTGGGAACAAGTGCTTCACCACCTGAAAAGCAACATCACGCTTCAGCACTGCTTTGTTTTTTCCGGTACCTTGCCCTTTCTTCAGAACTGGCAAGCGCAAAGAATTTCGAATTGAATTCAACTCTGGCAAATTGATGCGAAGACCACGCCACAATGCTGAACGAAGAAGGGAGTCACACGGACCTGTTTGCATCAGCACAGAACCTCTCAATTGTGAGTGATTTGGGACTTCACTCCTGAGCAAAAGGCGTGTTGGCACAAACTGGTAACCACATTCCTTGTCGTCACAAGTATAGTTGAAGATCCAAGACGGTCGCATCTGCTTTTCCTGAATGATGAAGAATACCTCGGCATCATCATCGTTTGCTGTTGAAACTAGGCAAGCGGACAAATGACTTGTTGCTAGCGCTATATTTATGACAGTGATGGTGGGGGTAGCCAGTAAAAAGTGCAGAGACTTCTTGACCAGTGTTGCAGTCAAATAAACAGCAAAAAGATGTTGACATGATGAGCCAAATTATTAGTCACAGGTACTGATTCACCAACTTGAACCCTTTCCAGCAACACTGCACCAGCCGCCCAGGTCCTGAAACCCATTGAAAGCATGTACTTGCCGCCGCTCTCATAAACTTCCATCTCCTTGAGCAGGCAGCCTGGGCAGGGAAGGCAGTCTGAGTAGTCAGGGCAGGAAATATAATGAGATGAGAGAGTCTGAGAGACAATGACAGGCAGGTCGTGCACACACACACAGCAGGTTAAAACAACCAGTCTGCCAGTGAGTGTGGTTTAATGCTACAGGCAAGGCACCAGCCCAAGCATTCCCAACGTTCTTGAAGTTGTTTCGAACCTCGCTCACCAGGTAAGCAGTAGCCGCGGCACTTCTGTTCAGAGCATCTAGCCCTGCTGGTTTCCAGGAAAGGTCACTGAGATAAAAACTGTTCATCATCATCCCGTTTCGGCAGCTTCTTCTCATCAATAGGCAAAGGGGTTGCGTTGACATTGAACACGTGAGAATCCATGTTCTTGATAGCATTTGCACCTGCAGGTGACATCAATATTTTCCACCAATCTGATTCTGATGGTAGAATCTGTCTGGCGTCCAGGTGTGGATTGAGCGTGGCTAAAAACCATCTCATGTAAGGACTCGCCCTTTTGTTCACATTCATAAACTGGATCTGTCTTTGGCACGAATTGAAACAGCTCTCCAAATTTTCCTTTGTAGTTCCTGAAGCACTGTAGAGCCTCTGGGCAAACTCGAGGAAAACAGGGTCTGCTGAATCAAACTTGTTTCTGAGTCCTCTTTGAAGGATTCGACGGACCAATTGCTCTGAGTTCCAGCATACATCGGTGAGGCATGCCAGCAAAGCAGCACTGGGATTTGCCACATCTTCTGCCTTTTGGATGGCTGTGGCAACCACCCAAAGATGCTTACAACCACGATTTCGTTCTGCTTCATCTTCCAAAAGGTAGAGGGCTATAGCATGAGGCAAGGTCCAGTAGTAGTGAGCATGGGTCCAGATGATCTCTTGGCATAAGTGGAATGCAAATTTGTAAAGGTGGTCCATGATGCCAGCTTCAAACTCATCGCAGGGTTTGTCGGCCTCAAGTCTACCAGAGTCCGTTGGTGGAGTCATACCCAGCCTCTGGAGAAATGGATCGCTCTGAACCTGCTTCAAACAGTCAATTGCACACTGAAAAAATCCATTTGCTGCACGGTTTGCTGCAAATGAAAATTGACCTTCTCGGGTCTTCTGTTGACGGAGGGTGCGGAAGTAGAGATCTTCAAGTGGTGCGGAACCTCGACTCATAATGATTGACTGAAGCTGCAACTTGTGATCTGAAAGAATGTCAAAAACCATCGCAGCAGGTCCTCGCCCACTATACTGGGCATAGAGCTCCTTTCGTGTTTTTGGCTCTGGAGCTTCCAACTCCGGATCATTCTGCGCCTCCGCCTCCTCATCAGCGTCGGCATTGTCTGGCAAAGGTTGGAAGTTAGCCAGGCGATCCTCCACTTCAGTGTCAGGGTCAGCCTCAGGACACGGCTGGCAGGACTGTTGGGGTGGATTGGGACGGGAAGGCAGTGGGATGACAACAGCTAGTGACAATCGATGTGTTGACCAGTCAAGAACTTAGTTTTTTTGTATGAGACTACTAGGATGTACTTTCAGAATGGACCT